CTGCTCCATAGGGCTTTGATTATGAGGCGTGTCCTAACCAAAATGAAAAAAATCCTCTGTAGTCATTTGGATAGACCAATCACAGCAACGCAGTAAGTGACATATGTTGAGCTACGCATAGTTGTCAACAGTACTCAACTGCACAAATGCTGGAAGAAGTAGTAAAATAATGAGTGTTGCTTACTTGGTCCTCCATGAGTGTGACGGTGTGACCAAAGGAGAAACCACAACTATTACAGGGTTTTCATTTGCGTCCCATCTTTTTAGTGACGGCAAACATCTTTCCGATTGACAAATGCATTGATTGCAGTTCTCCGTTCGTCTTTTAAAATGAATGTGCTGTCGATTTCTTCTGCAACAGACGTGATAGTGTAATCTATACATCTCATCTCAGCCACCACAGAAACCAAAAATTCTCTGGCCAGCAGCATGTGTCCAAATTTCAATGTTAACCATTCTATTTCATCAGAAACGATCTTAAAACAGGGCTTTTAGTGAAAAAATACCGAACTTGTCCTGATAAGAGATAAAAGATCACTCTTAAGATCTCTTAAGAGAGAGATCATTGATAAGAGACTAGATTTTTTTTGATCTATTAATATAATTTAATCTTTTGAGATTGTCATCTCTGTTTTTAATTGCTTAATAGAACTTTGGATTCACTTTGTTGGACTTTTTGATTAAACAGTGTTGCAGTGAACAAATCTGAATAAATTACGCGAAGGAGGTTTAATATATCCTCCACCAGTGTCACCAAATATTTTTGAGTTCACACTGCAAGGAGTTAGATTTTTTTTTTTCATTGTGTAGCTTTTTCCAGACACTGTTTAATGAGTTTGGACTTGCACATTGAATGGTTGAACCTGGTTGTACTAATCTGTCGCTTATGGTGGCACTTAAGCAGTAACTCTGACACAATACCCATTAGCGCTCTGGATTGCTGGTTTATAATCCCTCTTATTAAGTGTTCTTCTGACAAATGTAATCCAGACGTGATCCAGGAGCATTGTGTCTCCCACCCAACAGTTGCTTTTCTTCTTTAAGCAGATTTATTTCTATAAGAAGTGGTTGTGGACTCAATAAATAAAGGCTATGATTTAATTTAAAGTTGCAGTAAATACAGCATTGAAGGATAGCAAAGTGAAAAGCAAAGTGTCTTCAGAATTCATCTCTAACGTTTTTGAATCTCTTGAGGTTTTCTAACACAAGTGGCCACAATGACACAAAAGCAATCAATCAGGGTTGTCAATCAATCTGATTCGGCAGACACAATGATTGACCTCCTGAGGATTTGTTGTTCATAAGGGGGCTTCCTTTAGTCTGTAATTGGTCTTAGAGGAACACTCTAAGCTGCTTTAGTAACTGCTTTTCACTTGTTTTGTGGTTAGGGATGCCACACTGTCTGACTCTGTTAATTATTCATGCAAATGATAATAAGTAGAGTGCTCCCTTTATCATCACCAAAGCTGTCAATACCTTCAGTTCAGTGGGAGCTGACCCTTGCAAAGACTCCCGTTTTAATCAGTAAAGCTGTCTATGCTGCAGAGCTGCACGATTCTGGATCAGTTGAGAATCACAACGATTTTCTGTCAAACAGAGATCACGATTCTGAACCGACAACTAAACAAAATAACATAATTTACATTCAACGTACCTTCTGATGTTTATCCGTGTTTATTTACTATTAACTAGTAGATCTTTTACGTCAAATTTAAGAGCGCCATAACTATTGTTTGAAATTTGTAATAAAATTTACAGAACTTGAAAGCTGCGACTTACAAAAGTATCCTGCTCTGTCTTGTTTGTCAGTGTCAGTGTCCCCTTTACTTCACAATTTTTCACTGCGTGTGGCGTAAGAGCGCTAGAACAGTGTCAATTGCGTGAGGTATTTGCAAGCGAGAAAAGCTCACTAACTTAAATGACAGTTGCGGTCAGGTGTTCAACAGATATGTCTGTCATTGCTAATGCTCAACACTTTTTAATAAGCAAACATTATTGAGAGCAGCATTATCTAAACCACAGAAAAGAAATACCACAATAGCCACAATAGCATTATCCAAACCACTGACTGCAAACCACAAAAAAAGTCCAACCTGATCATTGTTCTCCCACGAAGAGAGTTGCTAGGGCCATTAACATATTGAACAGCAGTTGAGATGACAGGGCTGTCAAAAGTCCTCCATTGTAAGACCGTCAATCGTTGGAAAAATTGGTTCGCAAGCTGCTCACCTTATAGGTATAGAACCCCCAAGTCTGAGTTGACATTCAGAAGCCTCCAAAAATGAAAACAAAGCAAAGTAAGACAAGGTCCAGGCATGTCCATTATAAATATGCTGTAATTACATCAGACATCTCAACTCAGACGCCATTCTGCAGCTGGGGAATTATTTACAACTTCCCTTCAAATAAACCTGCAATGAAATGCACTCGCTCTAAATAGAACCCCTCAGCATCAGGCTAAAATAGCCTCGACGTATGTCTTATTATATAAGTAACTAATGTCGTTTAGGCTGAATCCTGCATGACAGAGGCGGACCAGCCAACACTGAAATTAAGAGGAAATTGACAGATTTTGCTTCTAATATATTATTTATTCTTCAGAGTGTATAGTGTTATATCCCCGAGGGCTCCCAGATGTGAATCGAGCTTTGTAAGCAACCCGACAGAGAAAGTCGCCTCTCTCTCTGTGCGAGGCTGTGAGGTGGAGGAACACTCTAGAAAGCATGAAAGCATTTTGCCAAGATGGCCTCCACGGGGGACCCTTGGGGGGAAAATGCCTAGTGAATAAAGAAATGAACATTGACATGGTGTCTTTCCTGTGAACTGGAAAAGTTTTGTAAAGGTCTAACCTATCTCAATTGATAACACCCCAAAGCACTTATCACTAGGTTGCTTTTTTGGGAAAGTGAAACATTGACATCTTTTTCTTTACATTTTCTTTTACTATTTTTTTTTTTAACGCTGAAATATTTTTTTTCGGTCTAGTTTTTTTTTTTTTTTTTTTGTACTCTTGAAATCCTGTTGCTCGTGTTGGATCTTGCTTAGACTTTTTGTTCTTTATTTTTATTTTTTAAATCCCCACCAATTCAATGGTCTCCATCAAACTTGTAGTTCCTTTGAGATAAAGCCTCAAAAACTGTTGGTTTAGTCAGGTTAAAAGCTTTATCAAACAGATATTGTAAGTAGGCTATTAATGTTGCACCTGTTGAACTGGTTCTTCCTTGTACTATTGACATTTTATATGAATGTATATTGCTATTGTATGTTGAAGTTGTTAAGTCAAGTAGAGGAGGATCATCTGCCTCTGGAATTAATGCTCCTGCAAGGAATAGTTTATTTCTTTGTTGTCTGTCTATTCCCACTTTTTCTCTCCACACGCACACGTCACAGTTCAGGGTAGTCAAATATAAATATTTAATAAATATTTTTAAATAAATATTTAAAAATAAATATTTTTTTCTGAAGGGAAAAGTGGAGACTTGAACTTGTATAGCATACTACTGTTTAAACTTTATCGTTTCATTAAAAAAAGATTAGACAGTCTTTAGCACATATGCAGTAAACAGTAGCATTCTGTTCGGAATGCACAGACTCTTCACCCGTTTCCCATTCTTTTCATTTTTAAATGTGTTTGCTGTTTATGTGATGATTCTTTATTTTTTGTTCTTTCCTTCCTTTCACCCCCTTCTGTGATAATAATTACGCTTTTGGGATTCACATGTAGCAGCCGGAAGACAGGGTGATATTTGATTCTGGTCATTAACTTTTAATTATTTGTCATTATTTATTTATATTTCGGTTTTTTTTCTTTTTTTTTTTTTTTCTTTTGTATTGTATTGGGGATTGGTGGCATTTTTAGTATGGCCATTTTTAAGCCTTTTTGTGGTCAGGAGAGCAATTAGGCAGAACCTTTTTTTTCGTTGTCTCTTTTCTTCTTGCAGCTTTGCATTGGATGAAATGCAGCTCATATACAATGCAGATCATGGGGGATAATGACCTTAGGTCTTTCATGGCTGGTTATTAACTTAAAAGAAGCCATGATTTTAGCAAAGGCAATTAATGCACCATAAATGATATTTAGGGATATTAAGAAAGAGATAAAGTATGAGTCAGATCCTTCAATTTGGAAATATTCCAAAGCCATGTCTTTGTCATTTCCCAGGAAACATAGGGTGAATGCTCACTATTACACCATAATAACAGGATGTCTGGATGGTTTGGATTCCATTTTCAAGAGGCAAAGCAACATCAGAATATTCTCGGGCTAGGTGATTTTCAGGGCTCAAGGACTCAAAACATGAAACGCCATGGTTGCCTAGACACAGATTAATCTTTGCCCTGGATTATTCTGTCAAAAAGACTTTGAGAATACAGAATGTTTTAATCCAAGAAAAGAGTTATTCTGTGTCCAGGGAACTGACTTGAACTGCCTCTGTGTCACAGCTGAAATAATGGGCCTTATAAGTGCATGCTTTCCATTGGCATATATATC